ACTGGTAGAATGAGCTCCCAGAAGAGATCAGGGCCCTGCAGGATCTTTTACAGTTCCACAGGCCCTGCAAGATGGAGCTCTTCCACCAGGCTTTCAATTAGGAGCCGCCACACCACTGCCACTAACATCTGTGGTTATGGGTTGGCCCTAGCCTGGAAATTGAGCCACATCATCACATGCTACCGAAAGATCACTGACTTGGAAATAATTGCTTGTACATTACCTGGTATGCCATCTTAATTCTTGAAAGACGATTACTACCACTAGCACTTTGATTATTTGATTGTTAATTTTTTTAAATGTTTTAACTTTTGTGTATGGTTTTATGGTACTGGGTACCAACAAATGTAAGCCGCCCCGAGCCTGTTCGCAGGGAGGGCGGGGTATAAATGGAATAAATAAATATATCTATCTATCCAAATCCCCTGGTGATGCAGTAGAAGTCCTGAACCACTGCCTGACTGCTGTGATCAAATGGCTGAAAGCAAGCAAATTGAAACTAGACCCAGGCAGGACAGAAGTGATACTGACTGAGAAGGCAGAGATCTTGAAGGACAATGAACTTCCCACTTTTCACAGGGTTCAGTTGACCCTTGCTGACTCAGTTAAAAGTTGAGGAGTTATGTTGGATTCAGCATCGCTGCTGGAGAAGCAAGCTGATGCAGCTGCAAAAAGCACCTCCAACTTAGTCTAGCCTGTAAAATGGCTCCCTACCTTGACACAACTGATCTAGCCACCTAAATCTACACTACAGTAACATCAAGCCTAGACAACTGTCATGCAATCTACATAGGCCTCTCCTAGAAGGCATGCATATTACTGCTATTCTGCAGTCACTGCATTGTCTGCCCATCAGCTTAGTACAAGGTATTGACTATTGCATATAAAGCCCTTCATAGCCTTGGTCTTTCATATCTGCAAGACTGCTTCCTCCCCATGCTCTGCCATGACAGCTTCAATCATCTGGGCAGGGCCCTCTGTAGGTAACATCCTTCCAATTGGGCAAAATCAACAACTGCCTATACACATACATTCTGTGTTGTTCCCCCATATACACCTCTTATGGAACGGCCTGCCCGATGAGGTTGTACTGTAATGAAATGGTTCAGTATGCTTATGCTCTGTTTCAGATATTTCAGATTTCTGCAATCTAGACTCTGTTAGATTGTTTATTGGACGTCTCATCCTGTTGATTATATTGATTTACAGGATGTAGTCTGCCTTAAATTTCAGTGAGGGAGGTGGACTATAAATAATACAAATAAATATATTACAGGTTAAATGACAGGGGAGAACTGGCAAATAGAAGGGTTGTTTAATCCTTCCCCAACTCATCTATTCCTTCAAGTGCCCCCTAAACCAGTGGTCACCAACCTTTTCTTTAGTGAGAGATACAACTGAGGAATGAAAAATATTCCAAGCTTCTCCCCTCCTGACCTATTACCAAGTTTTGTTTCATCAAAGAAACAGCATATGGGTTAGGAAGAGCACCAGAAATGAAGCCATCGGCTAAGCAGCACTGAGGAAAATCCTGTGAAATAAAAGTTCTTTTTAAAAAGGCCTAGAATTGATCTTTTCATGAGACTCCTAGGGGATGCAGAAGCCACTCTGCAGCAGTCAGTGAGCCTCCTGGTTAGAGTCTATGTGTTGACTATTTTTCCCCTACCAGGGTTCGAAAACCCTAAGACTGCTTAGCTGGTAGAGCAAACACCTACGGACTACATATGCAGGAAGAACTGGTCCTTTATCCCTCCTGCGTGTGCTTCTACCTGTCGCCCTACAGCCTTATCACAGTAAATGCAAGCTTGAGATAATGATGGATAAGCCTAATGGCTACCTTTCCCCCAATAGTTGGCCTCATAAAGAATTCTGGGGAGCTCAAAAGCTTACTCACTAGTTTGTGATAAATGAGTACAGGCCCCTAATAAAAACTGAGGCTTTCTAATGTACTGCTTTCTCCCCAGTTTTTTTCATGCATTCCATTTGAGCAATACAGTGTTCATTACAGAATATAAAGCCACAAGATAGCTATACAGGTAGAAGGGACTCTTTCTATTGTACTATGGTCAGGGGTCGTTTCGTAGAAAAAGAGCTAGGGGAACTCATTAGCATAACTCATTAGCATATGCCACACCCCCTGACATCACCGGAAGTGTGCCACACCCCGCCCCCAACGGTCCCGGCCGGCGGGAGTGCAAGGAAGCCCCGCGAAGGCCCTCCCTGGCCCCAGGCAGGCAGGGGTGGGGAGAGGCAGGGAGGAAGCAACTTACCCTCCCTCTTCCCCTGCCTCCTCCTGGCTGAATGAGGGCCGGAAGCAGGGGCGGGGCTTCGTCATGTGCCCCGCTCCCCCATACCTCACCCGGGGGAACTGCGATCCCCCGCGATCCCCCCCAAAATGACCTCTGACTATGGTTTAGTTGTTGTTTTTAAGGTATAGCAACAAGACTGCAAAAAAAAAGTCAATGCTGTATGAACATACAATAGCTGTCATTTTTGCCTTTTCTTCTTCAAAGACGTTTCTTCTTCAATTTTCTCCTTCAGTGAAACAAAACTTACCAAGGCACTTAACAGCACATCTAATTTTAAAATGCTAGAAAATTATTGGGGTTTTTCAAGATGTAGAACAGTCATACCTGCTGCTTCCTCTATGCTAATCTTACATCCTGCCTCAAAGACTTCCTCAAAACATCAGCTGGTATGAACAGTTCACTTTCTGCTCCAAAACTTCTCTGTTGATCTTGCATTTGCAAAACGCCTATTGGAACTAACTGAACCGATATCTGTATTATGGTAGTGAAAGTAATTCTTGGGTGTTTGCTTATGAGAAAGTGTGTTTTAATAAATAAATCTGTCTCTCTCAGCCTGATCAAAGAGGAGGAGGAGAGTTGGATTTATACCCCACCCTTCACTCGGAGTGGCTTAAAATCTCCTTCCCTTCCTCTCCCCACAACAGACACCCTGTGAGGTAGGTGGGGCCGAGAGAACTATGACTGCCCCAAGGTGCATGTGGAGGAGTGGGGAATCAAACCCAGTTCTCCAGATTAGAGTCCACCGCTCTTAACCACCACACCAAACGGGATAAAAATGGATACCAGGTGTGCCACCTGGGAAGAAAAGTAGGGCATTTTTGTCTTTAAAAAATGCTTGTTACACTGCATCAAGAACACCAGTTCTTATGTAAACAGTATAAAAGTTTTGTTGCTGCTATCACACCCATTTTGAATAAGTTCCCATGGACGTTTCACGAGAATAAATGGGGGGAGCCCTGCTGAAAACTCTTACTGAATTCACAAAGGATGCTGGGCTTGCTTCTCTTATAAGTATGGGCTAGTTTGTTGACTAAACAGCACTAGTGACTGTGGTATGGATTATACTACGGATTAGAAATGGACAGGGTGCAGTATCAGTCCATTTAGCTCTTATGAACACCCAAGGCCACCGGCACAACTAACTTTGCTGGCCTAGTGGGGGACAGCCAGCCTCTCTCAAGACTCCATCCTACCATTGCTCCTCCAAAGACACCAGCATATGAGCTCTTGGGCACCGGAGTCGATTAATCGGCGTTGTTCGCCGGTGCTTTTCTGATGAAAATGTCAACAAGTGAAAGCGCGCCTCACTTTACCTGTAACCTGTAAACACTGGCTTACAGCATGAGCCTGTGGGAGCCTATTTCAGGTCACTCCCGTCCCGTTCCAAAAAACAAACGACCGAGCAGTGCACCCGCCTTTCTGGAAGGATCGCGTGGCCGCTCTCAAGGCAGGGAGTCGAACACTTTTCTCACGCAAGGAGCTTTTGACTCCACAGCAGCTCATGTAAAAGAGATTTCCTTCCGCCAAACTTTTCCCTCTGTAACCTTGCCTTGTTTTACTCGAGGGGCACAAGCGCGCCGCCTTCCTCCCCTGCTCGCTTTGGGGACGGGACCCTTGACCTTCAGGCTGCTTTAAGGCCGTGCGGCCTTGTAGATGCAGCAAGTTTCTCTTCCCCGCAGAGCGGGAATATGGCCCCTCCTCGGTTGCAGCCTGAGGGCCAGCCGCTTGCTGCTCTAAGAAAAAAGATCTGACAGGAGCGAGGAGCCTCGTTACAGCCGGCGCGCTGCGAAAGGCCAGAAGAGGGGCTTTGCTTGTTTGTACTCACCGTTACTGGGGAAGGGCTCCATTTTCCTCCTGCGGGGCGACCAAAAGCCCAAACAAGGAAGGGCAGGACGCGCAGAGAGAAGCAGCAAAACTCGCCGCTGCGGCTCCTCCTCACTCCGGATCCTTTCCCCCCACCTCCTCTCGGAGCGGCGGCGGCGGCAGCAGCAGTAGCAGCGGCAGCTGCTTCATGGTGCCGCCGCGGACGTTCCTGCCGGCCCTGCTCTCGCGGACCCGTGTCGTGCAACACCAGTCCCCGCTGCTAATGGCAGAACGACAACAACAGCCCGGATGACGTTCGGGGAGGGGAGCCGTTCCCTCTCGAGGCTTACCAGCTTCACCTTCCGAACGGCCCCCAGTCGACCATTTTCTGGGACCTTACAGGTCATCTAGTCCAACCCCCTGCACTCTGCAGGAGCATAGCCAAAAGATAGCCCTACAACATACCCAAAAGATGGTGGTCCAGCCTCCGCTTGAAAACGTCCAGCGACGGAGCATCCACCACCTCCGGAGGCAGTCTGTTCCACTGCTCAACCACTCTTACAGTTAGGAAGTTTCTCCTGATATTTAGCCAGTATCAACTCCCTTGTAATTTCCACCCATTGGATCTAGTCTTGCAATCCAGAGCAAGAGAGAATAGATCTGCTCCATCTTCTTCTCTCTTTTTTTGTAAAGATTTTATTGGTTTTCCATTACTACATCACTAAAGCTACAGGAATGGGGGAATGGAACTCTATTACACTATACATTACAATTCTACTAGGGACTGGGGTAGTGGAGCTAACAGGTAACATGATCTGGATTACACAAATTTTTAACTAAGTCACCTACTAATATTATGATAACATTGTAAATAAAAGTTTAAGAATAAAAATTTGCTTTGAATATCGTTTTTACACAAACTGCATAAACATCTATCTTAGTTTCAGAGTCTTTTCTTCTTGTGTTTCTTCCTTGTCCGAGGTTTGGGAGCAGCTTCTCCTTTTAAAGATTCCGAAGTCTCTGAAGATTGGTGCTTGTTGAATCCTGTCAGTAGAATTCTTCGACATCATCCTCCTCCTTCGCAGAAAGTTTTGTCTTCTTTTCTTTTTTATTTTGATTTGCTTTGAAAATTGAGTCATAAACACACCGTCATGTTGTATAGACACACCATATGATTTTGTGACCTTTTTATTTAGCAGGGTGCCTTTACCTTTAAGAGGTGTTGCACAAGTAAAATTCCACAGGTAAGGTTTTCCCCTAGCAGGCAGAGGCGTGATGAGAATGGCTTCACCTGCTGAATTTCTTTTTGTTACACAGCTGTTGCGGGTGCAGGCAAAACAAATATAAATTTATCAGGTCAGAGTTGTTTTCTCTCCCAACTACGGTTGGTAATTGCTCTTGGCCAATTGCCTGCTGCAAAGATCTGCTGATGATTCGTAATATACATTATTTATTACAAAAGGCATCGGTCCACAGTAAAAGCCAAAAAACATGTAATACTTTTAAGATTGACTAAATAACAGCACAGTGTGCAAGTTTGGAGGTCTCCAAGTGAGGCTGGATGCCAAAACAAAAAAAGGGAGGAGGTCTTATTACAGTCAGGTGTACTATCAAGTAACCACTTTGTGTGAATAAAATTAACAATGAAACAGATGAAACGAGTCCAGAATTTAGATCCCCATCTAAACAAATGAAATGCCCACTTAGAATCATAGAATGTTAGAGTTAGAAGGGACCTTACAGGTCATCTAGTCCAACCCCCTGCACTCTGCAGGAGCATAGCCAAAAGATAGCCCTACAACATACCCAAAAGATGGTGGTCCAGCCTCCGCTTGAAAACGTCCAGCGACGGAGCATCCACCACCTCCGGAGGCAGTCTGTTCCACTGCTCAACCACTCTTACAGTTAGGAAGTTTCTCCTGATATTTAGCCAGTATCAACTCCCTTGTAATTTCCACCCATTGGATCTAGTCTTGCAATCCAGAGCAAGAGAGAATAGATCTGCTCCATCTTCTTCTCTCTTTTTTTGTAAAGATTTTATTGGTTTTCCATTACTACATCACTAAAGCTACAGGAATGGGGGAATGGAACTCTATTACACTATACATTACAATTCTACTAGGGACTGGGGTAGCCTCAATTCCTTGGCCATCACCTTGGAACAGGCTCTCCTCAGCTCTCCAGGCTGGGGATCTCCCACAAAGAGCCTGTGAAGGTCCGGGACCAGCCCAGACCCTTCCCATCAGCTTAGTCTTGGCGCATCTCCATCAGAGATAGACAGGACGTGTCCGAGCGGCAAAACGCTGAAACCAGAAGTCCTGATCTGCTCCATCTTCTGCATGACAGCCCTTCGAATATTTGAAGACTGCAATCATGTCCCCTCAAAGCCTTCTCTTTCCCAGGCTAAATATACAAAACTCTTTCAGCCTATCCTCATAAGACTTGGATTCCAACCCTCTCACCATCCTGGTTGCCCTCTTCTGGACATGCTCGAGCTTGTCAACATCCTTCCTAAAATGTGGTGCCCAAAACTGGACACAGTACTCCAGGTGAGGCCTGACCATAGCAGAACAGAGCGGAACTACCACATCCCGTGATCTGGACACAATGCTTCTGTAAATGCATCCTAAGATTGCATTAGCTTTGTTCACAGTCACATCACACTGCAGGTTTATGTTTAGCTTGTGATCAACCAGAACACCTAGATCCCTTTCACATGTGCTGCTGTCTCTGCATAGTGACCCTGATATTGCTTGGTGGTCTCCCATCCAAATACTAAGCAGGGTTGAACCGGCTTAGTTTCTGAGATCTGATGAGTTTGGGCTAGCCTGGGCTATCTAGGTCAGGGCACCTGCTGATTATCAGAGGCTTAATGTGTGGAAATGGACAGCTGAAACTTTTCACGGTATTAGAGATAAGTAACATCACCTACTAAATAGCATCCAATTAAGCCCATTATTTGGTTATTTATATCCTGCTTTTCTCCCCAATGGGGACCCAAAGCAGCTTACATCATCCTCCTCTCCTCCATTTTATCCTCACAACCCTGTGAGGAGAAGAAGAAAAAGAAGAGGTTGGATTTGTACCCCGCCCTTCACTACCCAAAAGTGTCTCAGAGCGGCTTACAAACTCCTTTCCCTTCCCCTCCCCACAACAGACACCCTGTGAGGTGGGTGGGGCTGAGAGAGCTCTTGACAGAAATTGCTCTTTTTCAAGAACAGCCCTTATCAGAACTATGGCTTGCCCAAGGTCATCCAGCCAGGTGCAAGTGGAGGAGTGGGGAATCAAGCCCGGTTCTCCCAGAAAAGGAATGGCCCAAGGTCACCCAGCGAGCTTCTATGGTATGAGTGGGGATTCAAACCCGGGTTTCCCGGATGCTAGTCTGACAGCAGCCCTATCATAGAATACATACTGTGCCCAGAATACAGGCCAAATTTGGCCTTCAGATGAGTGCAGTGACAAATTCTGAAAGATGCGAAAAAGTGAATGCTACATTTCTTTTCTATTAAGGAACCTTACCAATCAGAACACTAGAATAAAATTTTCAAGGATATTGTGGAACCTGCTGCTCTTTTTGTAGAAAAAGCCCAGCAGGAACTCATTAGCATAATAGGCCACACCCAACAACAGAAACTCATTAGCATATTAGTCCACAACCCTGACAGCACAGCTCATTAGCACATTAGGCCGCACCCCCATGTTACCAGAAGTGTGGTCATCCAGCCACACCCACCTTTTGCTTCTTATTCTGTTGACCTTGTTTGTGGTCAAAACGGTTTTTTTTGTAGCAGGAACTCCATTGCATGTTAGGCCACACACCCCTAATGTAACCAGTCCTGATGAGTTTCTGCTGTTGGGTGTGGCCTGTTGTGCTAATGAGTTCCTGCTGGGCATGGCCAACTCAGGAGCCATCCGGAACTCCGTTCCTGTGTGTTCCTGCCCCAAAATAGCCCTGCTGATGCCTCATAGTTCTCAAGCAAAGAAATATCTGAAATTAAATGCTAAGTGCATGGATGGACCTATATATAACATTTACAAGTGAGGAGCTGCTCAATGCATCTGAAAAGTGGGGTCTAGTTCACAAAAGCTTACACTGGAATAAAACTGTTAGGGGGTCCTATCTGAAACTTCCATATATGGAGCATCTTCCATGCATGGAAGTATGACTTTCCTGACTCTTCTGTCCCAGTACAACTGGAAATGCTGCTTCTGAGGGATGGGGGACTAGGCCTGCTTTGCTAAGGAAGGATTTTTCAGAGTCAATGAAAGTCCATCTTAACACCACTTGCCTCATTATTAATAGTTGGAGGAACAGATTGATAATATGATTATGTCAGTGAGAAGGAGATGTTTTCAATCTTTCCAGCACTGTAGTATGCAGCCAACTTGTAAGTATATTTTCATGGAGTCTCTCTCGCCCCATCTCATAGCAAGTGACTAAAGCTGCAATACTAAAGACAATTTCCTGGGAGCAAGTCCCATTGAATAACCTGACTAGGGTTGTTTAGGATTATGCCCCTAAATCACCGACATCTGATAATAAGGGGGGGAAATGCCCTGTTAAGATTCATTTCATTTGCAAAATTGACTTCAGAGAATGAGTGAAAAGTAGGTAATTTGGCAT